GTGTGTGTGTGTGTGTGTGTGTGTGTGTAAAACATCAAGTAATAGACTCATAATCGTTATATAACGAGTGGAATACACACACGCACACACACACACACACACGGGCGGGTACAAGGGGGTGGCCTTCGGCCTCCGGCCACCCCCCCCGCACCCACACCGTCGTCAGAGGTCTGCTCCGACAGTACTATCATAGCAACAGTACAATCGTAGAAGTCGTGTTCCCCTGGGATTTACGTGCTAATATTCCACGTTTTGGTACAAGAGAGTACAATTATGAACATTACATAGCTGAATTTTTGTTCAAAAGACTGTATACTTTTGACAAACGTATTGAACGATTATTTGAAATAATGAGTAATTTGTATCCGTTAGAATCGTAACATAATTCTCCATAGATATTCAACGTTTATTTAACATTATTGTCATTTAGTAATGTTTTTTTTATTATATACAGCAGTATAATGGTACGTTATTTTTTGAAACTTTTTTTGTTAATATCTTTTTAACGAAGGGCGAGCGACGGCTAGTTGTTAAGGCAAAGTTACTCAGGGTCATGACCTTGACAACATATGTCAAGGTCAAGAAGATCGGAGCTGTTTCCCCTATTCCGAAGATTTACCACTAATTGAGCTATACTAGTTGTTAGAAATATATATAAATTTATTATTAATAATTACATCGGTATATACGGAAAAGTTTCGACTTCACAGAGTCCTCAACAATCGCAACCGAATTCTTAAAAATTAATTAACTTTTTTTTTATATATTTTTTTTTGTATAGTGATTATATATACTACATAAATATTGCGAAGAGTATTACTACGTCGACTCGCTATCAAATGTTTATTGATATTCGCGAAATTCTCGAAATTGTTGAAATATACATATATTGCTTTATGTAGAGTCTTGATTTAATAATTTACACTGGCGTCTAAGGTAGGCTTCCACTACGTTACCTTACTGATGAGTCTAATAGTGGAGGCTGGGACGAAACGCCGACTTGTGATATTCTTCGTAATATACAAAAAAAAAATAAAAAAATAAGAAAATATTTTTAAAAAATTAATTAATTTTTAAGAATTCGGTTGCGATTGTTGAGGACTCTGTGAAGTAGAAACTTTTCCGTATATACCGATGTAATTATTAATAATAAATTTATATATATTTCTAACAACTGTGGCGTCGAGTGGCTCACCGCTCTGTGCGATTGACTCGCGATTTGTAGACCCGAGTTCAATCCCACGTGCGCCCAAACGCGATGATTTTTCGCGTTTAATGAGCCAAAAAATGGCTCCACCTGGTGATCAAAAGATCTATGATCATCAGCGCCGTTCGGATTCGGCGTTAAAAACTGTAGGTCCTATACATCAGTAGTATATCAGTAGATATTTGTCTCTAATATCTAACTGAGGTAGGATTCTGTGGACTAATCACCCACAAATCAGAAAAACTATCTGATTCGAGAAACGAATATAGGCCTCGGACAAAAGAGGTCTATAGACGTCCTATGCTCCACATAAGGAGATAAAAGGTGTCGTTATATTTCTAACAACTAGTATAGCTCAATTAGTTTTTGACCTGGGAGATATATTAAGTTTAATTTGTAGATAATATTAAATATTTTTTGAGTATCTTATTAAATACGACAGACGACATTTAGAGTAAATTATAATATAACGATTTGAGACTAAAAACTTGTATACACATTTAATTTAATTAACATTACATTTAATCATACACTGAAGAGGACCCAAATGGAGGGGTTTGAAACGTTTGTAATCAATTAGTTTTTTAAATATATGAATTTATACATTATTAACCTGTTCGGTTGTTGATAATTACTTGATTTAATCATTGGATCAAACCATTGGACCTTGAATCAAAATCAAGATTTAATTATCTTAATTTTCTTTCTTCAAAATTATTTTGTTACAAAAAAATTACTAATAAAAAACGCGCTAATAATTCCATTGACCTTTTTAATCAAATAATTTAAAAAAAAAAGGAATTAAGCAAGATCTCTACACAATTAAACTCTGTAAGAAATAATTAATAATTAAAACAGTAAAGTTATATAATTCTGTAATTTAAAGATCTTTCTTTTTTTCTCAAAGGGGTCAATCATGTCAAACTTTTTCTGTACGGTAGACAGTGATATTTTTTTATATCAGTATATAAATTCACGCGAAATTATATATAAGCAACTAAGATCCAAGCTAGACTGTTATAGGCTTCGTATTCGTATTATGTTACATTAACGGTCTTTAAAATTGAATATTGTTTATTTACGTGTCTGAAAGAAAACGTTCGTCACTTCACATATACCAGTTATTGCGAGGAATATTACTAAGGTCTCGGTAGTCTAATTGGCTAGGATACTTGCGCGTAAAGTAAGCGATCCGGATTTGACTCCCGACTGAGGTAATATTTTTCGCAATAAGATTTATTATTTTCAGATTTTAATATACAGTTTAACATCGATATAAGATGCCAAAAGAGCATCAGTTAATTATTAAATTGTTCATCAAATCAATTTTAAATTAAATCAATTTAATTTGTGATAGTACTGTGGTAGTTTGTTAGAGTTGCGTTTCAAGATCGACAATTGTTCGGCGCGCAGTTTAGAAAAATTTAAATACATCAGTATGTAAATTCACGCAAAATTATATATAAGCAACTAAGATCCAAGCTAAACTGTTATAGGCTTCGTATTCGTATTAGTTTGTTGTTACATTAACGGTGTTTAGAATTGAATATTGATTTTTTGTACATAAATAAAAATTTTTTTTACGTGTCCGTTCTAGAGAAAGAAATTACATGATTGATACCCAGAATGTGAATATAGAGATAGAAATTTTTTTAAGACGAACAATATTTTTTAAGAACAATCATTAAATGATTAGTTATTAATATTATTTTCATTGTCACAGATACGGGATCAATTATCGAAAGTTCTCGAGAAAGATTTAAGACGATCGATAAATAAAAATGTGTTTGGAACAGGTGCTCATCATTGGGGTATGCGCCATCAGATTAAATCATTAACGTGCCCAGGTTGTACGTTGTCTTTGCAAACGCCAGTTTTACTAGGTAACAATGGAATCGCGATCTTTCGTTGCGGCCATGCATATCACGTAAATTGTATGATAGAGAGAAAGCTCACCAGATGTAATCTTCATCAGTAAATAAGAATTAAATGAAAAAGTTACATGTATAGTACATACATTTCTCTTAAAATAAAGCTCTCTTCGGATGTACTTGAATTTATTATTTATTACCTATCTAATAAAGATCTTTTTCTATCATCGCAAATATTTGAATTTATTATCTCAGTACATTCGTTATCACAGTTGCAAGTTGGACAATACAGAAGAACATCATAAATTAGAAGGTAGAACAAAATCGCTATGTAATACAGTCATTATCGTATCATCTCTATAGAGCATACATTTTTCAAATTTACTACTTTTGTTCATTATCAAAATGTATCTCTTTTATAAGGTCATTATAAGATAATTATAATGCTCTATCATTAATCACAACGGCAATAATTCATTATAGGTTCTCATGTACACAAAATTTTAGACATGCGTGTATAGTAAATAAAATATTCTCGCACGCCGCGCGCTTATTAAGTTTTTCTTTTTAGAAGAAATCAGGGAAAGGCTAAATGTATATTTAGATTTACATTATTCATCTTATCACTTACCTTATTTGACTGTAAATACACACTATAATTACACGCATATAACGTGTAAATGTAACTTCGTACGTGACTATTACACATATTTGGAATTTTTAATTTTTATTATGATTTTGCAAACTATTCTTTAGGAAAGTAAAAACTCAAAATCTAGATTTGAGATAAGATACATGAAAAATTGAGATTTAACATAATGCACATGTTGACATTATCGTAATACATGCTGTACATACTTTCACAGTATTAGATTTGTAAACTCACAACATCTCTGTGCAAATACTTAAATATCGATTGTACGTGTATCCTTATAAATAAATCTATATAAAAATCGTTTATACAAATCTGGACTATTCTATCATTATTTTTATAAACACGTTATGTAATCGTAATGTATAGCACCGACCATTTTTTGTGAGAATAAAAATTTTATGAGAATTGTTAAGTTCAAAAAATATTTACTAATAAAAAACTCACAAATGTATATCAGTGTATCACAGTTCAAATAACATTAAATGTATAAAATTTTACTTTGCGATTTTCTATATAATGTGACTAGATAATCTTTGTTATATCTAGCTCTTTACGAAAGTTATCTATATATTTTCTATATGAATATTTAAAAAAGTATAAAAAAGTTAACAGATACAAATATTAAATTTTAAAATTTTCTACAATTATCTGTATACAGAATATTTAGCTATGGTATAATACAGTTTGAATATTATAAATTTTTGAGCAAAATATTAAGTTACTGAGTAACAAAATATTAAGTTACTAAGCTATTCATAAACGGACGTTTCATTTCCTTTTTTAATAAATTTTATAAAAGTGCTATATCTTGCCAAACTTGCATTAAATGTAAGTGTTTATCTTTGCACAATTCGAATAAAATACTTCATTATAATAAATCGCACATTAACATCATATCACTGTTTCTTGTGTTTTTTCGTACAAATTTTATAATATAATTGGAAGCACAGAAAATTTATTTTCGGATAGACAGTTTGTTGGTTTTATGCTTCCAGTCTTGTAGACTCGCAACGCTTAACGTTTTTAACATTAATCAAATACTGAAATTTTCATAAAATAAAGAACTATGCTTTGAGTAATGATAGAAAAAACATTAACAAATATTTCTAATAAAGCCCATTTTAGATAATCCATAACTTACATCAGAATTCAGGATGCCGTTTTATTTATAAATTATATTATCTTTCATATAATACACGAAAAATATTTAAAGAATAACACGCATACATACACAAACATAAAATATATGATATGTTAAAATATATTTCAAAATACATAAATAGTATCATAAATAATAAACAAATCATATATAAAACGTTATTCTGAAATCTGATGTGAATTACAGATCTTCTGAGAGGAACTTATAATATTGTTGATACATTTTTCTCCTAATAATCTTACTAATAGGCAATTATTGCGATATCAAATTATATAAAACACTTTATATAAGATAGTTAACATTATTGTTCTCCACTGTGCAAATGTTTTGTTTGCCTTCAATATTATATTAAATTATTTTAACAATTTGTGTATACAATAAGATTACGAATAAAATAAAAAGATAACAGTAATATTTGACAGAATTTTAGTAATACATGCACAGAGGACAACACGTTAATGTAGTTTGTAAAATAGCAAATTATGTTTTACATCAAACTGTTTACAAATACGACTAATATCTCTCTTCTTCTTTTTCTTTACACAGACTGAATGAAAATCATAAAGATAAATGAAAGTGTCTATTTTTCACGAGAAAAATGCATATTCGTATTTTTTTGTACGCAAAAATAATCTACTTAAAATTAAAATTAAATATAATTAAACATTAAGTTTCATTCGGTTGTTGCACTTACCCATTACGTCCATACATATCGCTTCCAGGAAAATTTCATTCGCGTCGTTTTCAAACGAGAGCGACTATTCTATTACGCAAATAAAATACTATGTGAAATCAAAGGTATGACAAATAATCGCAATAGTAACTTATAGTATGTCGGCGGAATGGTTGCGGTTTTTGAGTTTAAATAAACAGCTCATTTTCTTTCGAGGTAATGTGCACTTAGCAAACAAAGTTTGAGAGTAGAAACTGATAAATATACATAGATGTAAATTATACAGACGATTATACTTGTGATCGTACGAAACCATGCACAAAACATCAATACTAGAATTTTAATTAATGTGAAGCTATTAATAATTTATACAATTTATTAGTAATGTATATACTACTGAAACTACTAGTACTTTTATGGTAACGTTTGTATATATTAAGTCTTTTAGACAGAACGATTCTATAATATGAATATATTGTGCGCGGTTTCGAAAGATATTTCCATTTGTAAGACATGTCATTATGTGTTTTTTTTTTTTAAGATAATACTATATTATTAAAGTACCCTGTAATAACACTGCTGTAAGAATGGCTTTATATTTTTTATTAATAAAAATACTACGCGTGCGTGCAATGAAAATATTTTCAAATGAATTTGAAGGCAATGAAATTTCATTCAAGAGTTCGCACTTCAAATTCAATACTAATTTATCACAATATGCCATTCTCGAATGGTTCAATCAAGAAAAATACTAAGCAATATTCTGCTTTAGTAATATTTAAGTAATATGCCAAAATGATTAAATAATAAAAAATGTTTTATTATATTATTTTGAAAAGCTCTCGAGATAAAGCTACAAGAATATGTAATAAAAGTTTTTTTTCCTATTTAAAACATTCGAAGTGACTTTGACCCGACCTTGGCTACGCTACCTAAGGTCAAACCAATGGTACCCTCTTATGATCCACCTTCGAACCTTACAACTTTTGTCTGAAATTTTTTTCTGCCATATTTTCGGAGATATTGGAACAATTAAACTAGGATACCCTGTACGTGTGCACGCGCACGCATGTACGTACACACACCAATACATTGTTAAAATCTATAGCGTCAAATTTAATTTAAGTTGCTCCAGCTATCACTATTGCTCCAGCTATTAAATATATGTTATTTCATACTAAAACGAAAGTTAAAGTTGATACTGTATCAATTTTATTCTGTATAGCATCAAATGTAATCATTATTTTAGTATAAAATAATATATTGAGTAGGAGCAGTAGCAACTTAAGTTAAATTGGACGCTATAAATTTAACAATGTACAGCCAAATAATGCTAACAATATGTCTGCAGTTACTAAAATTCGTTTGTATTCGCTATATTCTTTTTAAATTTGGTTTCTATCATGAAAACTTGTTAGCTATAACAGAAATACAGCAGAAATGAAGCATACTTTTTTATATCATCGTATCATAACGCAGGGTCTGCTCGTTTTTTGCTTTGGATATTAGAGAAATAACAGAATATGTTCAGCTGTTGCTAAAAAGTTCTAGTATTATATATTAATAATAATATATAATAATACTCCAACAGCCGAACACATTCTGTTATTTCTCTAATATCCAAAGCAGAAAACGAGCAGACCCTGCGTTATGATATAATGAAAAAAGTATGCTTTATACCTGCTGCATTTCTGTTATAGCTTAAAACAAGTTTTAATGATAGAAACTAAATTAAAAAATATATATATATACATATATATATATAAGTACTAACATATTTTGCAATATATATGGCTGCCTGTTTTTTATTTTTTTCTACACTGTACTGCACTAACTTACTTTGGCTATATATTAGACAATTAGACATACACTTATTTTATTATACTTTAGGTTCCAAAACATCAATTCAGCTTAGAAAAAGACTTATATGTATGTATACACACACACACACACACACACACACACACACACACACACACACACACACACGCACGCACGCATACACACACGCACGCATACACACATATACACGCATATATGTATACTATATTCTTGATAGGTTTGGCTACCTAGGTACATATGAAATAGTTAAAAGATTAATTCCTTGAGTATTAAACTTTGACATAAATAAAATTAAAACATTAAATATGTATAAATCGTGTAGAAATTCATCTTAAAAGATTTTTTTAAAGTATCAGTGGATTCTAAATCATAATGCATTAAACATATATTATCGTCAATTAATAAGGAATTTTAACAAAGTTGTGAATTTATCAAGATTACATGGAAATAATTCATGATTTTCTTAATTTATAGCAGGAATGTTTGCGCGACATCATATTGTTGAAAATATACGTATATATTTTTTTCTTAAAATTTATTTCTTATATTCATAAAAGAGAAAGAAATAAGTGAAAGTCGATCCTGTAAAATTACATATATTAAAGCTAGTTGAGCGTAAAATTAAAAAATACCCTTTGTTTTCAAAAAGTATATATGTAAATTTATAAATAGATAAAAACATTTTATAAAAAATTTATGTTTTTTTCTATTCTTATTATTCTCATTTTTATTTTTAGGATACAGTATTACGTCAATTTAGCAAAATTTTATTCAAACTTTAGTTTATTTAATAAATTCACGAATATATAAATGTTAATATATCATTTTAA